GAGGATCCAAACGCGTCGAGTCATCGGAGGAGCAGATTTAGGAGCTTAGAGACAAACTAAATGACAGAGTTTGGATTTGTGGAGCTTCTATTTGATCCCATCAGGAAATAAAGGAAAACTAAGAGACGTGACTGATGATGGACAAAAGGGGAGACGCTCTGTCTCACACACAGATGGGACGTGAACCTCTGCTTTTCCTTTGTCTTCCATCTGTCCACGTGTCGGCCTCCTCCTCCAGGCGTCCCGACGTAGATGCTGATCAATGGATCGATCAATACCCCGCCGTCACACGGCAGCGAGGTTTGGACAAAGGACCAGAGAAACCTTTTGTTTCCTCCAGTTTTTACTGCAAAGAAACAGCAACGAATCTGCCGATTTATCCCATTTATCTGCTGGAAACTACAAAATAAGAGTGTGTGAGATTGATCCAAACATCCTGTGTGTGCGTGAACGTCACAGATTCCTACTTTTTCTGTTCCTGCGTCTTATTAAAGACTAAAACTGCTTCTGTGTTGAGCAAAAACTGAACTTCACGAGTCAAAAATGGTGCAAACCTGCACGAATCGTGAGTTTAAGTACGAAACCCTGAGCGTGAGAGAGCGGCCGCTGTTTAATCCCAGTCGTGAGGTCGTTATTTTCAGTAGGCGGAGCTTCTGTCTTAAATGTCAGAGTGAAAACATCGAGCTCAGTTTGGAGGATTTCATCTTTGATGGTGCAGCGAGGAGACGGAGGAGGGTGGGACTCAAACCCAGCTCGCTGTTTTTAACCTCGCAGTGTCCGCCCGCTGTTAGTGAAACTGCAGCGGATTGGTGCAAACCAGAAACCGAAGCCACGGTGACGTCAGCGGCTGAAGTTTGGAGTTTGGGTCACGCCATCTTGGTTTTTGGGGCGGGAGCGTTTACACTGGAGTAAAGAAACAAAGCGTGCAGCAGCGTCACACCTCCACCTGTGTCACCTCCACCTGTGTCACCTCCACCTGTCAATCAAACAGGCCACGCCCCTATGTTGGCGGCCCTCATGAGCTCAGCACCAACACAACGACCACAAAGGAAACGTTTTCTGCCCGCCACGACGGCGGCCGGGTAAAAGAGGCCGATGGAGTCAGATTCTGTGTTAGTGCCTCGCTGAATGGCGCCGGCGTTCATCGTCCTCCAGGATGCTCGGTCTCTCCCTCGGCGTCCTTCTGCCCATGATGGCTTCTCTCCTTCGGCCTCCTCCACTTCTTTTCCCTTTGAGTTGTCCTGATGTGACATCATCGATCCGACCCTCCTCCTCCTCCTGATGAAGCACGTCGACACGTTTCCTGTTTGTGTCCCAGCTTTGCTCCCGTGCACGAGGACAGGTGTGAAACCTTTCTGTTGCTGTGGGTCGGGCAGACGACGAACTCCAAAAATGAAACATGAATCGACCTGAAAGTCAAAGATTTTCACAGTTTGAAGTTAAAAGTTTCTTTTGTGTTTCTAATCATTCAAAACGTAAAATAAAAACTCAAAGATAATAAAACTGTTTTGGCCGACATGCTGTAATCGATCATCGATCGATAGTCCTGATGTCGGCAGCGTCAGACCCAGCGATGCTGCTCGCACTCAGACCTCCTGAACAAACGAGTCCAGGAAGCACGTTTTCATCCAGAAAGCTGAAAGTGAGAAACATCACAAACAGATTTTTAAAGGTTAAAAATGACAGCTCAACACACTCTGACCAACGCGCCGTCTTTTAGCTCCGTGTTTGGTCTCCTTCGCCTGTAAAACCCCCGACAGACGCCTTCAGCTCCACACAAAGCCATGAATCGTTTCACGTGTCGAGCCTTCGTGCTGCAGTTAGGCTGAGCAGAGCGAGCTGTCAAAAACTGTCACGTGCATTTGGAAAAAGCTGCAACGCAACATTGAGGATTCAAATATACGTCACACGTGGACAAAGACTGTACGTAAAAGATGGACGTAGCCATTAGTTTCTGGGTTTTGCAACTTTGGTGCGTGGACCACTGTCCTGTTGCTTTTTTTGTTTGTTTTACAGCAAGAAGTGACCATATTTGGATGATACTGGAATTTTCAGGTAATATTAACAAACATGATTAATCAAAGTAGCCACGCCCCTAAATCCAGTATCCAGCTGGATCATTCGTGAGCAGGAAACTCTGCTGGACAGCTGAACACAGGAGTGTATGAAGGCGGACTCACTGCTGAAGACAGCCCCAAGAGTCCTTGATATAAATATGTAAAAATTGTGTGTGTTCCTGTGTGTTGTGTACTGTTTGTTTGTATATGCGTCTTTCTTACTGCTGTTACACCCACATTTCCCCTCGTGGGACAATTAAA